ATTTAATGTCTAAAATTTGTAATAATATTTTGTATTTACATCCAAAAGCAATGAAGGTAGGCAGTAAAGGTAAATAAATTTCATTAACTAAAAGAATGACTTTTTAGGACTATTTAAACTTATCATGCAGCCATTATGCTTCTTAAAGTCAGGAACATTTAAAGAAAACATGAAAAACAAGACAACAAGTAATCGTGAATGTGTGTATAAAAATATAAATATTCATTAGATTTGTTTATTAATTATTGATCTGTTTTAATATTGGACCTGCAAATCTTCACTTGAGCTGTCTAACGAGTTTAACAGTTTATTAATAAAGTAGTTTTCAATATTAAACTGCATTGAAAAGAAGAAGCAAACGTAAAAGCAGAGAATAGGTATATTAAAAATGCATAAAAGATAATTTTTATAATAGAGGTATTGAAATTTAGAAAACGTCAACATATGACGTTTCCAGTATTTTACCAAACCGTTCCGTGTCAAACCGATATGTTTTTCAGGAACCGCTCTTTACCGGTCTGGTTCGCCTGGTTTTACGAAATACAGCCTTAGTAATTGTCATTGTCATTTGATTTGGTTTGGATTGATGAACATCGATCAATGTCAAAATTAAAATTTGATTTTTGTTTGGTTTGGTTGGATAGTGTTTTAAAATAATACAGTGAGTTGTTGATGCTTTAGAAATAGGAATTTCTTTACAGTCCAAAGTATTGGAATTAAAAGGATCGTAACTGATGAAAAGTTCAAGAAAAAAATGAATATAGTATATAATAGTCTATTCTACACATTTTTAGGTACCTACCTGCCGCTAGGTTTTACAGTTTTGTTATAAAATCGAATAATAATTTATCTGCGAGTGCCGCTTCAATCTGTGTGCATCTCCGAAAAAGGAGAAGCACCGTTCCCGACTTGGAGATGGCTAAAACGACTTCTCCTATAAAAATCTCCTCCTTGCGCAACGTATGATCCCATTGTACCGTCTAATTGGCATGGTACTGGCCGTATTTAGTCGTACCAACCGAACGCAACGGTAAAATCGGAAAAGCTATACGCGCCTCCATGTGTTTTACTTTCTCATGGGTTCTTAATGCAGTTGGTACTTTTTTTACTTTGTGCGATCTTATGGCAGTTTTTCCTAATTGGCGTCGATGCAGGTTTCCCATCAGGAAAATTTCGTTTATAAGGCTTTGCACGTGTGAATTTTTATTCTATGACCATATTTTCGAAACCTAGCAGGATAGAATGAATTATAGATAATCAAGGATGAGTAATGAATCTATATAAGAAAAATGGCATTCAGACTGAAACGTTTGTAGTGTTACAGTAGGATGAAATAAAAAAAATTGTGTGTGCCCTATGTGCGCATATTTGAAGTTAAACTTCTAACTAACAGCTATTAAATTTAAGGGCTTGAAGGATATATATTTTTTATGAATGTTTTTTATAAACTTCAGAAATGCTTTTTATAAACCAAAAATTAGAGTTAATATAAAAACGTATACTGTTCTAGCTTTATAATTTTATAATTTTTTATTTTAACTTTTATTAAAAAAAAGATAATTCTATTACCCGCCGGATGGGCTGTGGTCATTAAACGAAAATACTACTACATCTATATCCCTGACTACTACTAACTGCTACTAACCAACAATTTGTTTTGTGTAGTCTGTGGTCTGTTTTTGTTTAAATGTTTTGTTCATTATTCGAGTTGGGGATTTATTTTTAAATTATTGTTAATCGTTAGGCAACCAGTATTTCTTTTGCATAATCAAAATTGTCACTCTAAATTTTGTCTTTTTTTAGACAGATGTCACTTGCCTTGTCATTATTCAATTCTTTATTCGAATTCTCAGAATGTTGTTAACAAAAGTTTCATCAAAATAAAATTTTAATCAATCACAATTGTTTATCTCCATCATTCACCGGATTAATAATACAGAAATTACAGCTCAATTACAATCAATTTATTATTTAGTGATTTAGAGTAATTTTATTAAATTATACGAATATTCTCGTCGATTCTTGGTTTGAAATAAATATGACATATAAATAAAAATGCTTAAATGAAAATGCGAATTACTAACTCTAAATTCTAATTCTGAGCTGGCAAATGAGCTAGATGTTTTACCTAGATCGTTATTCAGATACTACAAACCTATTGATGAAAATATGCATTAAATCAAGGTTAGTACAGCTTCCAGTTTATTACAGTGATTTTCTTAGCCGCGTATGGCACAGATCGTTGCAACAAGCTTATTTTCCATCGGGGTTGATTATCACATGTGTCACAGACTTGAATTTTGAACTCCCAACACGCGTTACGAAGTTACTAAAACTGGTTATTGTTTCTGAGAATGAAACATAAACACGAAGAAATGAAACATTGATTAAAACACAAAAAAATGGGCGCCGGGAGGCACGTATAGCCGCCCATACTAAAATATGTTAATAAAAAGTTGGTAGGCAGTTCTTTTAGTTTCAAAGTAAAGGAATTCTTCCAATTTTTTTATCTCAAAAACTGCGACATTGACTGATTTTGATGTTATTATAAATTTTGTTGCAAATAATATTCCTAATCTTAAATTGAAAACCGCGTTTCGCTAGCTAGTGTAATTTTGAAGTTACGATTTTTTAAATTTTTAACCCCCTCCCATACCCCCTTATCAACCCCCCACCCCCACCAAAAACTAATGGCCAGATTCTCGGGTGTCACCGTATTTTTGTGCCAAATTTGGTTAAAATCGGTTTAGCGGTTTTTGAGTGATCGTGTTACAGACGGACAGACAGACAGACAGACACCATGAAAATATTTTGTATTTAGGTCATTTATGACCCAAGTAACTCATTTTGAGTGAAATTAAAAAAACTTTTTTTTGCCGATCTTAATACCCTACCATACGTGTTGGTATGGTCGGTTAAAAATACTTTTGTATTAAACATTTTTCGTCTGTATGCCATTAACGCCAACAGATATACATATAATATATCTAAGTATACTTCTGTTAAAGGCTGGTGTTTTCTCGGTATCTCAGAGCGGGAGCAAGTTTCCTCAAAAGGAAACGGACGCATCGAATGCCGTTTTTGTTTAAATATTTCAGTTGCGCAATATATCGCGGCCGATCGACTATAAACATGTCGCGAGGCCGCCTCGCTGCCGTTTTGTAAATATTCATTTACGCCTTTTCGGTCTTGCTGCAAGATGGTTTGCAGAAAACTACCTCGCACAGCACCGACCAGTTTGTTATTGTCACCGCTTGTCGTTGTTCTTATTTAGCAGGGCAGCATGCCGACCACTTCTTTGACAGTTCTGGTTTTTGTAAACACAGTACATAACTATTTTAAAATTTTTACAGGGCTGACAAAAATCATAATTTAAAAAACATCAGATTTCTTTGATTTAAATAAGATTTTTTTTTATTTTAAAAGACTATAAAATAAATGCCTTTATTGTCAAAAATTTTTACAATTTGTAGACAAAGGTAAAGTAAACAAACAAAAGAGAATACAAAACATTATACAAATTACATTGTGAGTCTTATTGTTTAAAATAAACATTTATAAATGTTTACAATGTCAAAGAATAAAAAAATAAAAATAAGATTCATAAATATTTAGTAAGTCTATAGTAAATATTAATGACCTCTAAATAAATTTATTTCGATGTCATTGGTAAATATAGTAATAGCAAACATTAGACCAGTGTTTACAAGATCAAATCCGATTATCAAAATATAAGTCATTTACGGCGTAGAAAGCCTTGTCTAGTAAATACGATTTCAATGCTTTGCGAAATGAAGAAAATGATGTTATGGATTTGATTTCAAATGACAGGTGATTGTGCATTTTTTTCGAGTTGTATAATATTGAACTTTAAACTAACTCTGATCGTGGGGTAGGTAGATAAAGATCTTGCTCCGCGTTCCTCAGTGGATAAGTGTGAGATGGCCGTTCTTGAGAAGCTGATACATGCTTACGTATTAGGCAAACCTATTCAAATATAAATAAGGAAGGAAGAGTTAATATTTTTAATTTTTTAAAAAAGTCCTGGCAATGAGTTCTGCTGTTTAGTCTCAGTGAATATCGAACAGCTCTCGTCTGGAGCTTGAAAATGCGGTCAAATTGAGTCGCACAACGCAATGGAAGGGCATATCTGAGGTGTGACTCAAAAAGTGCATAATAGACAGTTCTAGCCACTGACAAGTTAAGCTCCTTAGAAACAGATCTTAAAGCAAAACAGGCAGAGCTTAATTTTTTCGACAAAGCGTCGATATGCATGTCCCATTTCAGAGAATTGTCTACAACAAGCCCTAAGAATTTTACAGATTTTACGACGTCAGTGGTTAAGTATAAAAGTTTTAATACGACAAAGCTTTAGTTTTAGAAATGTTGAGTCTCAGGAGGTTCGAATCACACCAAGATTTAATGGTGATTAAGTCATTTGATATAATCCTATGAAGTGCCGTGACGTCCTTGTTGCTCCAAGTGAAGCTAGTGTCGTCCGCAAAAAGACATATTTTACCACTGATGTTTATGTTAGCAATGTCGTTAATAAAAAAAGAAACAAAATAGGGCCTAGTACTGAGCCTTGTGGTACTCCACATTCTATTGGCTTTCTAGAAGACAACGTGGTATTCACCCTCACAAGTTGATTTCTGTTGCTCAGATACGACTTAAACCATTCGAGAGATGTTCCCCTGAACCCATAGTGCTGCAGTTTATTAATTAGGATCTTATGATTTACACAGTCGAACGCCTTAGAAAAATCACAGAAAATTGTTGCTGTAAAATGATGGTTATTTAGGCTGGAGTAAACTTTATTAATGAGGGAAAACATAGCGTCATTTGTGGACATGTTGCTTAGAAATCCAAATTAATGTTCAGTAAGTATTTTGTACTTCAACAGAAAAGATACCAGCATTCTTTTAACTAACCTTTCTATGAAGCTTGATCTTCTAACTATCTAGAAAAAGACTATAAGTAAAAGAATATGGAAAACTTACTGAGAGATCCACTAGGTATGTACACGTTTCCTGATGGCGTCCTCACCAGGCAGGAGGGCTCGAAGTCCTGATTGGGGTCCTGAGGGGGCGCCGTCGCCAGACGCCCGTTCAGTCGGTTCATTGTGGGATTACGGGGGGGCACATCGGGCGGTCGGGGAGCGTTGTCCAGCAAACAACCTACGACAAACACAGAAATATTCATTATTATCTTCAATCAATTATACATTCATTGTTATTACTGGTCTGTTTATTCTATATATTTATTTCGATATCATGTACAGGGTGGGTCAAATTCGACGCTTTTAAATGGAAACACCCTTTTCTATAGGAGATAGACAAAAACTAATATCGGTGTCTGGAGCTCAATTTTTGTCTAATACATGATGGTGAAAACCGCATATCGATATCTGTTACCGTTTCGGAGTTACGGGGTGTTTTTCAAAAATATGCATTTTTAACAAATCGCTGTAACTTTTTTGCTATGGAAAATTTTGTATTTTTATGAAAACATATCCAAAGCATCTTTTTACGTAGAATTTAATGGTTCAAGTATAATTTTTTTAAAATTAATAGTTTAAGAATTATCAACAGAAAATTTGATTTTTTATATGGGACACTCTGTATATTTTTAATTTAATAAAAATAATTTAAAATTACCTTTCCAAAAATATAACACACTTGATATTTTGCTCGATTCCTCTTCGAGATATAGTGTATATAAAAATTCGCCCGCTTTAAATAAGTAGGCTTTGAACGGCGCCGGCTGTAATGCAAAAAAATTCTTGCTGTGAGCATCAATTAAAACGAAAATAATATTTGCTATGAGAGATGCAGAATTTTATAACAATTTAAAATATATTTAACCAACAACAACACATTTAAACTATATCTAATGACAATAAAAATTAATAGCAAACCAAGGCATGAGATTTTGCTACAGTTGTTCGATATATCGACCGTCTTCTGTTATGGACAGACGGGGCAGTTTTTGAACATTTCTCGCGGAATTCATTCCCCAACTTAGTGGGGGTGAAGGATACCCTCTCATAGCTGCTAAGTATTTCTAATTCTTGTCTAGATTATACTGAAGAATAAGGAACCTTTATTCTTCCGCAAATATATCCATAGGATTAGATCCATGGGCACTAAGTCAGGCGGCCTCGACGGCCGACGGCTGGCATCTTGGTTAGCTATTCAGTTATTCTTGAAATTGGCTGCAAAAATTTGCTGATAACTTCAGCGTTCAGAGGCGGTGCGTCGTCTTGCTGGAAAAAGATGTTTTCCAGTTCCATTAAGGGCATATTAACAAGGGGTTCAAAGCCTACTAGTTAAAAGTGGCGAACTTGTAAAAATTCTGTATTTCAAAGGGGATTATAACAAAATATCAAGTGTGCTATATTTTTGGAAAGGTAATTTTAAATTCTTTTCAGTTAATTAAAAATATAGAGGGTGTCCCAAATAAAAAATCAATTTTTCTGTTGATAACTCTTAAATTATTAATTTGAAAAAAACTATACTTAAACCATTAAATTCTACGCAAAAAGGTGCTTTGGAAATGTGTTCATAGACTAACCGTAACTCCGAAACGGTAACAGATATTGATGTGCGGTTTTCACAATCATGTTTTTGATGAAAATTGAGCTCCAGACACCGATATTAGTTTTCGTTTATCTCCTATATAAAACGGTGGTTCCGTTTAAAAGCGTCGAATTTGACCCACCCTGTACAGAGTGTCCCATTTTGGTGCGTTTTACAGGGTCTCCTTAACCAGAATCAGACCTATGTTGATATGAAAAATAAATCTTATTTTTACGCGAGGAATCTCCCCATGAGAGATGGCACATGTTTTTTGAAACACCCTGTATAGTTTATATTAATTACTGAAAATTAATTAAATATAATGTCTGCAGTGAAACAAAATATAGTTCATCCATTATTTCAGCAGTTTTAACTCAATATAATATACTATCTATAGAAAGTTTTTTATTTAACCATACTTAGGAACCATCCTGTATATATTGATAAGACACACGTCAATCTACAGAAGTTAAAAGCCACTTCTATAAATACAATAGTGTATTATTATAATAGGAGGAAACGTTTAATATTACAGCTGGCTTTGTCTCTAGAATATAAAGGAACTTACTCGTTCCCTTTTGTAACAACTCCTCCCGTACAAGGTACAAGAAAAAGCTTTCTATTCTCACTTCGACACTTGTATTTATTTGAAGGAGAGAACTCGGTCTATTTTGAAAACGCACATCCTTGAAACAGGGAGTATATAAATGCAGAAGTTATGTAACAATGTTATTGTAGAACTTCTTATTATGATAATTGCAACAAAACATAAAATAAATTAGGTATATAAAATTTTTAATGAACAAATGTAAAAAATTCTAATATTTTTAAAAAATATAAAGATTTTTTATATTATGTCTCTATTTGGTGATTCCCTATAAATTTATTTGATTATATAGGATGTCCATAAAGAAATGTGTAGTAGGTATACATACAGGGTGGTCCGAACTGTAGGTATTCGGAAACCTTCGGCAGCATATTCTGCAGATAAAAATAAGTTAACAATGTTCGTCCAAATGTGTGTTCTAAAATGCTTAGTTTCGGAGATATAGGGTGTAGAATTTTTATTTTTATTTCGATTTTTTCCAAATAATTTCTGAATTAACATTGATAGTTCGATGAAAAATTGGTTTCTCGAAGTTTTTTGACATGAAAAATTTGATTTTGATATCAATATGACTCCTACTTGTAAAGGGCGCCACCTACATATTTTTAACTGGTTTGAAAGGTTGTAATAACTTTTCGTCCGTACCTGTATAAAACTACTGAGTAAAAAATATACATTTACGACGTTTTTTATGTAAAAAAGGTCTCTTGGTAAAAATCGCTACGAGTAATAGTTCCCCAGATATTTGGGGAAATTTTTAATCCCTGTCATCATTGACATAAATTAAACATGTTGACTAATACCTACTTATTAGGCTGAAATAATAAATTTTAAAGGTTTTTGGGCATTTTATCATTTCAGTCAAATAACTATCTAATCTACTCAACATGTTTAGTTTTTGTCAATAATACCGTAAGACGTTATGTCATATGAAACAAAGCATCTTCTATTATAGAGTGGAAATTGTTTATAGACCTCAAATTTTAAACAATCTTGTTTATAGACCTCAAATTTTAAACAAAGTTCGAAAAACTAATAGTTATTTTTTATACAAAACGATAAAATGGTATTTTATCGTCGACCGAAAAGATTAATTCATGAGCGATGAAATCTAATTATATTAATGAGTGAGTGAATTAATTTCGGGAGATGATAATGCAATTTTATCGTCGTGTATAAAACAGTATTTTTTTTCCATAGCGTAAGAAAAACAGTATTTTTTTCCACAACTTTTAAAAAATATTCAGAAATTATTATTTCAAGGAATTTATTAAGAGTAGAAAAAATATTCTGCTGGGTTGGCGTTGGTTTCTATGTAATTTGACAAATAAATAAAGCTGTCTTTAGTTGTCAGTTTTGAGTCAATATTTTTTAATTCTCTTTCGTGTCGATTGCTGATTGAATTGGAGCCAGAAATGGCTCAAAACCAACTAAGTAAATTATTAACAGATATTCAGGCTGAGGCGACAAACGCCATATCCAAACTACTTCAATTTAAATCCTGAATACAAAAATTTTCAAAAATGGAAGCAATTAAAAAACGTGCGAGAAGAAATAAAGTTTTTAACCTATCCTCGCTGTTAAAATATTATTTAATCTATCTTTGCGGTTAAAGTACTATTTTATCTACTATTTTTGATAGATATAAGGCAATTTTAACAGTTGCTATAGAAAAAAGATTATTATCGTTATTATTATTGTTAATTTATCACCTTAAAATAGACAAATATGTTAATACAATAGAATACACAAGGGCACTTTTTTTAACATTCTATTTCCTCTAATAGAAGATTACAATATCTCGTTCATATTTTTTCTCTTTTAGATCACGCATATAATTAATCGTTCTTCAATCTCTTCATGATTTATTTCTTATAAGAATAAAGGGTTATACTGATAAACCCCGTAAAAATTAAAACAGTTATTAAAGTTATTGTCCAAGCATCTTCTTTGTTCAAAGCGAGTTCAGTCATCTGCTATTTTTAGTGCCAGAGTATTGTATTTCCCAAGAAGACGCAAAACTGTTGCGATCTATCAGTTGCCCTCTGCTAACCCCTGTATAATTCCGGCTCTTAATTGAACTTATGTCGATTATCGCATCAGCTGTTGAACGATTTATTACAATGTCGCTTTTTGCTTATTTTTGCCCATTTCCTTCCTGAAGGAAAAAAGCGTGTAATTCTTCTCACAATGAAGCCCTCTAAAATTTTATTCAAAATTTTTATAGCGTGATACCCAATTCTAAAAAAATAAAGCCTGGTAAAATATAATATTTTCACAACATGGTTAATAGTTATTTTTTAAAGATACAAGACGATAAAATGGTATTTTATCGTCGACCAAAAAGATTAATTCACGAGCGATGAAATTGCGAGTGAATTAATTTCGGGAGTTGACAATGCAATTTTATCGTCGTGTATAAAACAATATTTTTTTCCATAGCGAGTTACGTTTTAAAAAATATTCAGAAATTAATATTTCAAGGAATTTATTACGAGTAGAAAAAATATTGTGCTGGGTTGTCGTCGGTTTCTATGTAATTTGACAAATAAATAAAGCTGTCTCTTTAGTTGTCAGTTTTGAGTCAATATTTTTTAATTCTCTTTCGTGTCGATTGCTGATTGAATTGGAGCCAGAAATGGCTCAAAACGAAATAAGTAAATTACCAACTGATATTCAGGCTGAGGCGACAAACGCCATAACCAAACTACTACCATTTAAATCCCGAATAACTTATGAAAAGGAATATATATATATATAAATTTTTCAAAAATGGAAGCAATTAAAAAACGTGCGAGAAGAAATAAAGTTTTTAACCTATCCTCGCTGTTAAAGTATCATTTAATCTACCCTTGCGGTTAAAGTACTATTTTATCTACTATTTTCGATAGATATAAGGTAATTTTAACAGTTGCTATGGCAAAAAATTAAAATTTTCTATAGATATTTTGTCTAATACTATTTTTCGATATGTATATACGTTAGACACTGA